TTTCTTCGAGTTACGGTTACTCAAGGAACTACAGACTCTCGAGACCTATGAAATACTATCAACTAGATTTCGAAGAAGCCAGCTAGATGTCCGACTCGAATCAGCTGATCGGAACAATGTTTACGTTCAGTGATTTTCGATTAAGGAAAACAAATAAAAAAAAACCCTTATGACTCTTATCCTGCAACTACTGAAATAAAGTGAGTACTGCCTCATCATTTATGTATGTGGTCGTTAACAGTGAATTGTTCGATTCACCATAAAATCAACAAATATTTCCTCTACTTGAACCAATTAACACATTATTTTTTTCAGCTCCAGTCAAACAAGCAGAGGCGGATTCGTTGGAATGTGATATCATTTTATTTTAAAATTGTATGTACAAGTGTGCCGAATAAATGAGATTGATTTTACATACAGGGCGTGTAATTACTAATGTACTATCAGAATGAAATTTGAACGTTACAAACTGGTCACCAAGATCGTGGGATATGACCCCGCTGGACTTTTTCTTGTGGGGTTTTCTCAAGTCGCAGGTGTATGCGAATAAGCTACAAACCACAACGGTCCTCATAGCCAACATACCCATGTCATCGATAATATTCAAAGTCATGAAATGTTTCGGATGCACTCTACTAAGAGAAGCCGTGGCGGACATTTGAACGATGTTATTTTCCACGCATAATGGCATCACTAGCTCTTTCAAATGAATCAAAAAATGTGAATGATCTGTATCGGTAGAGTAGGAAGGGTAAATGTACACTCACAGCACTTAGGCCTCATGTTACCCATTGTACATCCTCCCGAGGAGTTGTCCTAGGTCATCGTTCATCCTGTCCTTTCCAGGAAGGTGGACATGTCACTAGAAGACATCTCCTTCAAATAAGACTCGTGTCATACAGTGGCCTCCGCGATGGTTTTGGAGGGTGCAGCGACATTACTGTCGTTGGAGGTGGAGTGGAGGAGGAGGAGGGTGCACTTATAGTTGCTGACACTCCTGCCTCCATTCCTCTCTTCCTCCTTTTGGCCTCGGCGCCGCAAATTCGCTTACGCCTTGGCCTTTGTCTTACATCACGAGATGATCTGCTATATCCAGCCTCATTCCAGGCGGTAGATTGGAGTTCATCACCAGTCACCGCCTTACATTGAGGTGAGCAATTCTGTCCAGGCTCGGAATTGGTTTTTGTTTCTGTTGTCTCTGTTTTTGTGTTTGTTTCATTCATGTGTGTGCCCACGAGCAGCAAGGGCAGAATTGGTCACCTCTGGCAGAGCCCCGCATTAATAGAGGTTGGCTGATTACAATAAGGTTTCGTCCAGTTCCCCAAGAGTATCGTTCGTAACCGCATATCACCCTGCGGCCATTCAGCTGTCGGTACGATTCCCTACACCTTAGCTTGGGTAGGCTGGTCCTCAGTGGCATGTTTTGCAAAGGCTTTTGGGGAGTTTTAGTACCCCTCACCCTAATTTCTGCCACTGACCAGGAGTCTGGCAACCCCGTCCGTAAGGCCACATTGGCTTCCCTGACAGAACCTCTAGTCCCATGGCCGTTCCCCTATCCGCCACCAGGGGACGCGCCCGACAGGTAGTCCAACCCACGGGAATGTAGATGTATTCAAATTCAAAGATAGGAATCTTTCAGTGAAAGACTATATACGTTCGAAATCCATACGTGTGACGATAGTAATGGTACCTTTCATCTTTGTTACATTCATAATTTGTTAGTTGATTAATACGTAGTGAAACGGGGCCGAAACCGATATACACTGTCATATGTTCAATTATCTCTTCACCTTTGCCACTACCAACTGACACCTTACGGCTATTTGCATTGTAATTAAATTTTTATGATTTGAACCGGCGTACCGCAGGAGAAGGACCCACTAAAACAAGATTATCTGTAATACACTACAAAAACAAATAATGTAACTAAGCCGGTTATTAAAATGCCGCGTTGGGCGTGCATACTAAGTGTTTCCTCGTGGTTCTTTCATATGACTTGCTTGATTTATTACCATTTACGCCTCTCCCAAAGATCCAGCTGATGATACCGCGGATATGAGGTGGTGGTATGTTAATTCTCGCTGGAAAAACGTTCATTTGCATCTTTATTATGAAATTAAATTGTATAATTGCCGATGGGCTTGCGTCCAGCAAAGAAAGTCGAAATGTTTTATGATAATGTTAAAATGGTAAATTGGTCGTTTTTCGAGTAATCGGTGGTAACTGCGGCATGTTTCGTTATTTTGTGACGAGTGTTACTCATTTCTCATTCAGTGTCAAATATTCCACTTCACTTATATTTGTGAAGACTTCGTGAAACGATTAACATAAATTGAATGTTTTTCTCGATGTACTTCATGTCCAAATTCTTGCTTCTTTAGACTGTTTCTCAAGTACCGTTCTGTATCTATAGACTAGGGAGGATGAGTGTAGACCTGTAGTACCTAGGCCATATGTGACCCATTGTACATCCTCCCGAGGAGTTGTCCTCCTAGGCCATCGTCCTTTCCAGGAAGGTGGACAGGTCGCTGGGAGACATCTTCCTTATATCGGAAGGTGTAGGCCAAGACTCGTCGAAACCACACTCTTTTTGGCAACCTTGAGGTGTCTCACGGTGGCCT